AAACAGAGGCCTAGAAACCCAGCAGGTCACCTCCGTCCCCACCCAAAGGCTCACACCCCTTGGGCCCAGGGCTGCTCTCCAGCCCTCCCTCCCCCAAGGCCACCAGCTGGATCCGCCCAGGAGCTGGCTCTGTGGCCTCTGGGCCGGGCCGGCACTGGTGTATGCTGAACCTCGCTTATCAAGTACATCTTAAGCAAACGGCAGAGCCCACGCAACACTGCCCAGGGACAAACAGCGGCGTGGAAACAAGATCCCGCCTCCAGGCCCCATCCATGTGGGGCCGGCTGGGAAAGGCGGAAGTTCTGAGGAGAGCGGCTCAAAGAGACGGGTGGGGGGCGGAGAGTGCCTCCTTCCTGCTCCTGGGGTACCTGGGTCCTCAGGTGCAATGTCGTCTGCTGACATCACCTGGGAGCTCCAAGCACACAGACAGCCCCCGCTTCCACCTGGACGTGGACTCCAGACCACTGCACCTGAGCAGCAATCCCCCACTCCTCCTTACCTGTCCTGGCTTGAACTAGTCACAAGGGGGTCCGGGGAGAATTGGGCTGTCTCAAACTCAGAGGTGTTGCCAGGTGCATGGCACTCGGCTCTTGGAAACACTCTAGGCAGGCTGGGGAGATGCGGACCGGCAGGTGACTGGTCTGGGGCGAGCCGGAAGTGCGGGCAGGCAGGCCACCCATGCCTGAGCCTGCCTCCCTACCCCACAACAGGCCGGGAAGAGGGCTGGCCCCAGGACTCAGGCTCAGCCAGCTCTCCCATGACTGGGGGACCCTGGGGGTCCACAAGGCTCCACGATCCTGGGCACAAGGATGACGGAGTCACAGACCAACCGCATGAGGTGGCCCCTTCTCCGGGCCCAGGTCCCCTGCATGAGCCAGAGCAGCAGGCCCAGACGTGAGGACACAGAAGCAGCACGCACAGGCGTGGGAGGGGCGGGAGGCAGGCAGAGGAGAGGAAGGAACCCGGCCGGGCGCCCTTGCCGCACCCCCCACGGCGCCCCGGGCCGAGCTCGCTGGGACAGTGCCCTCTGAGGGCTCAGCTCCTCTCCCTTCCCAGAAGTCAGCTCCTGGGCGCCGCGGGGACTGAGCGGGCGTAGTCTCGGGCTTCCTCCGGGTGCGGCCTCCAGCTGGCCAGGGCCCCTGGAGAAGCCGCCAGCGCAAAGCTTTCCAACCTTTGGGGTAGGGCCAGGTCCCTCTTTGGGAGACTCCTGAAAGCCACAAAGAATCTCAGAATCACCCCCAAGTGCACACACAGACCAATTTTACCCTCCCCCCATTTCTGTGGCTCTTGGGCCTCAGGATGGTGCCCCTCTGTACCACTGAGGATCCCCAGGGGAGCAAGAGCCACTGAAGGCAAGCTTCGCGTGACCCGGTGTGCAACGGAAGCCCCAAACTCAGAACACCAGGGAAGCAGAGGGGTTCAGACGGCGGCCCGCTCCAACACCAGGCGCTGGGCGAGACAGCCCGGGCCATGCTCCCGGCTCCATACCAGCAGAGGGACAGGGAGGGTGCTGGCCGCTCCGGGGCATCCTGGCAAAAGCAGTGACACAGCCTCCTCATCCTTCTACTGCTGATAAGGATACACAGCTCCCAAGTGCTAGAGCAGGCACTTTTAAGCCTTTTATGTAGGAACTCATTTAATCTAACAACAAATTAGCATCGTCCCTGTTTAACAAATGAGACACACGAGATTAAGCACTTTGCCCCACAGCGAGGAGGGGCCAGCCTAGGATTTAATTTCAGGAGCCCACGTGACTAACCACTGGGTCGCACTGTCTGTAGACGTTGGAGGGACAGGCGAGGTGCATCCAGGAGAAGCCTGGAGCAGAACTGGGGCTGCTGCATAGAGCCTGTCCTGACGCACCCACCGGGGGCCTGCAGCCCCCATCCGGGCCTTTGCTTTGTTCCCTGCCGGGTAAGACCCTTTTTACTCTCCACCAACTCAAAACTCCTCCTTCCTCAAGGCCCAGCTCAACCTCGCCTCCCCCTAAAACTTCCCATGAGGCCCACGCTCCTCCTTCCAGGGCATTCAGAGCCCAGACCGCTTGCTCGCTTGCAGGGATGCTAACGAGCCACTGTCTTGCCTGCATCCTGTGAAAACGCAAGTTCCCTCCAAGCAAGGACCACGTCTTTTCATCACCTTTGCGCCCTCAAGGCCCTGGTTGTACGTGCCCCATACACAGCATGTGTTCAGTGAACGCATACAGGCCCAAGGCCCTCGGAATCCCCCGAAACATATTTAAAAAATTTTCCCCCTTTCAGAGACTCAAAACCAGCTCAAACCAAAGGGCTCAGATCAGCTCTACTGAGAACATTATAATCACTCCACTTATTTTCAAGCCCACAGATGTCCAGAAGCAAGAATCCCACTCAATCCAGGCGAGGAATAGAAGCCTTTCTGGTTGTCCTTGGATTTGGGACACGGCGGGATGTTTCACATCGTTTGCTGCTTTCCTTAATTTCATGGCCCCGATGCCGCTCAGGAGTCAGTCTGACGTCTGCAAAGCGCCCCTACTTTGAATGGGGCAGGGAGGCCACCAAGGACCTGGTGCACTCTCAGAACGGGCCAAGAGGCCTCCGCCCCGGGCCAGCCCCCTCCAGCCCGACCCACACTGCAGCAGTGACCCAGCTCGCCCTGGACCGCTGCCAGGAGGGGAACCAACTGGAATGGTCCAAGCCCTCCCCACTCCCACCCTCCAGGGCCCTGCCCCTGTAGGTAAACACGGGAGCACGGAGGCTGCCTCCACGAGAGCTGGCTCCTACTCACCCCAGAAACTCCACTTTCACCTACTGCAAAAAGCGTCCCCCTTTTTTGTTTAATTTACCTGGGGGGAGGTGGGAGGGGTGGAGGAGAGGAGACATCAAGTCTGCTTCAGAGGCCCACTGGCACCTGTGTTGGAGGGTCTCAAAGTGCCCCCAGGAAAAGGCCAAGGCCCTACAACCTGGGAGGACCTGACTCACCCCTCTGTCCAGACCCCTCAGCAGGAGGGGAAGCTCAAGGAGCTGAGGGCCAGAGCGAAGAGCCAGCCCAGGCCACGCTGGGCCAGCGATCACAGGGAAAGGGCCGCACACGGCCGCGATGCCCACAGTCATCTCAAGCATTTGGAGCATGTTAGGGAGGGAGGCAGGCCAAGCGCCAAACCCTGGCCTATGCCACCTGGCAGCACCCTCCTCCCCCACCACTGCATCGATGCGCCCACGCTGCCGAGACAGAGCTGCGTTCAGGGCGTCTGGAGGGCTGTGCCGTCTGCAACAAGGGGGTGAGGGTTGAAATTCTAAGCCACTGACCCAGAAGGGTACTTTAGGGGAAGTTCTGAGTAACCCTCTTTGAGACGAGTTATTTATTTTCTTTATTTCTTTATTTTGGTGAGGAAGACTGGCCCTTAGCTAACATCTGTGCCAATCTTCCTCTACTTTGTATGTGGGACGAAGCCACAGCGTGGCTTGATGAGCCGTGTGTAGGATCCGAACCTAGGAACCCTAGGCTGCCGAAGCGGAGTGCCACTGGGCCAGCCCTGAGATGAGTTATTCTTTATTACTCATTTTGGTTCCTGAATGTGGAAAGTAGGAGGAGACTGAAAAATGGCTCAAAGGCAGGAGGAAGCCCCAAATGACCTCTTCAGCTCCAATGAAGTCCCATGATCCTGTCTTCTTATCAATAAAAATTAATTCATGAGCCCTTGGCAGAAAACTTCACATCCAAACAGACTGAGGGAGGAACAGAAAGAGAAAAGTCTGCAGCACGAGCAGAAGAGCAGGTGCCACTTATCATCTGAGGACCAAGGAGGATGACGGATCCTTCCTGGATTCTTCTGGGCAAGACCACAAAGAAAAAAAAGAAAGGAAAAAGGGGCCGGCCCTGGGGCTGAGTGGTTAGTTTCCCGCGCTCCACTTCGGTCGCCCAGGGTCTGGGTGGTTCGGATCCTGGGCGCGGACACAGCACCGCTCATCAGGCCATGCTGAGGCGGCGTCCCACATCCCACAACTAGAAGGACCTACGACTAAGATATACAACTATGTAGTGGGGGGCTTTGGGGAGAAGAAGAAAGAAAAAAAGATTGCAACAGAGGTTAGCTCAGGTGCCAATCTTTACAACAAAAAAAAGGAAAAAGAATGGCAATGTGGATTACCCTTAACCTGCCCTGCGAGGCTTGTGGCCTCAGTGTGCCCATCTGTGAAATGGAATTTCAGAGTACCAGAGGAGAAACGCTTTTATGAAGGATCCTGAGCGGGTGATGAGACCCAGTCAGGTGTGAGGTCAGACCTGCTAGTGGGGTTAGGATGCCGGTACACGGACGGCACCCGGAGACCCAAAGACCAACCCGAGCTGCCAAGCCCGGGTGCTGCTGGACGGTCCCATCTGGCCAACTTCACTCCACTGGGTAGAAAACAACAGGAGTTCATCTGAAGACAGGACGCTGCGGCCTGGACCACCAGCCCCGGAGGCTGAACCCCAGGAAATCCTCCACCCAGGCCCCTTCCCCATACACACACACGCACACGCATCCCGACCGGCAGCGCCTGGAAAGTGAGCGATTCCAGCGGGGGTGCAAGGGGCAGGAGGGCGAGCGGGAGGGACGGCCAGCCCAGCGGCCCCCGCAGGCACCTGAGCGAGCAGCGCCTGACAGACAGTGGCAGGGGACCCTTGGCCAAGGTCAGAAGCGGGGCCATGCCGTGCAGGGGTCAGAGGGCGCGTGCCCCAGGACTCAGCACTGGTGGTCCCGGACAGGCGAGCAGACCCCACGGACTCGCAGCGGCGACTCGGAACAAAAGGAGCGCCAAGTGCGTGGAGAGGCTCAACGCCTGGAGGGCCCCTCGATCCCGATCCGGGGAGAGGGCTGTGTCACCTGTCCCGGCACGAAGGTCCCACGCGCCGAAGCCCGCCCCAGGAGACCGGGGACCCGTTCTGCTGCCGGGGCACCTCGCCCACCCACCACCGCCTCCGCTCAGGTCCGAAGGGCTCCTCCCGGGACGACCGCTCCCCGCCGGGCGCGCGCCCACCTGAGTACGACTTCTTCATGGTGCCGCCGTGGCCGCCGCTCCCAGGCAAGTGTGGCGGCGAGGCCGCGGGGCGCGGGCTCCCGGGGCGCGGGCTGCTCCGGGGCCGGGAGGGGAGGGCCCGGGCGGGGACGGGGGCGGCCCGGCCAGCCCCGCCCCGCCCCGCCCCGCGGAGGTGCGCGAGCCCCGGCCCCGCGCGGCGCTGCACCTGGCGGAGCCCGCGGGCCGGCCCATCGCGATGCCGGCCGGGAGGGGCGCGGCCCCGCGTCCTGTCCTGCGCTCGCCCCGGCCCAGCCCGGCGCGGCCCCGCGGCCCCTGCGCTGCAGCCCGGTCGCGGGGTGTCCGAGGGGGGCGTCGCCGTGGTGGCCCCACGCCCCGGCGGTTCCGCGCCAGCCGCCACACCCCTAGGCGCGAGTGGTTCGCTCCGGGGCGTCGCAGCCACTTCGCAGTTCGGAGTCCGATCCGGGCGGGGCCGCGCCGGGGGGCCGCGGGAGGCGGAGCGACGCTGGGGGCGGCTGCGGGCGGGCCGCGGGGCTGGGCGGTGGCCCCTCGGGCGCAGCGTTGGGGGTCGGAGCCGGGAGGCCGGCTTAGCCGACCAGGGCGGGGTGGGCGGGGTACCGCACCTGTGCCGCTAGTTTTCTGGCAATCAAGAGAGCACACTGCATCACTGCATCGACTCCTCCGAAGCGCTGGGGCCTCGGTTACCTCCTCTGCAGAATGGGTGCGTTGGCCCAGGCGACAGTTTCCCTGGCATCTTAGAAAGAGTGAGTACCTGCTCTTCGCCCGCCGCTGTCCGCGGCTCAGTGTCTTGGTGCAGAGGACCAGACACAGGGACACCCAGGTAACACAGGCAGTGATGAGCATGTGCGTTCACAGGCCAAAACTGTACAGAAGACTTCTCTCTACTTTTGTATCCATTAAAGAAACTTTCCATAATAAAACTTTTTTTTTAATGTATAGAGGAGAAAGTGATGAATTTTGTGTAGGAGGTGATGTCAAAACAAGGTTTTAAAGAATGAGTAGGAGTTTTCCAGGTAGGAAGGTGATGGGGAGGCAAACGTTCCAGGCAGAGGGAAGGGTGTGGCCCAGCGTGCCGGAACCCACGGGCAGGCCCTTCCAGGTTTGCCAGCCAGGCCCAGATGAAGAAAGGAGGGGGGAGGCGGTGCAGGAAGCACAGGCAACTTCTCAGTAAGGGCACAGCGCTGCCTTCTCCCGCCCGCCATCCCAAAGAGCGCACAGGAGAAGGTATAATTAACACCACCAAAAAGCCTCCTTCCCTTTTCCCGCTCCTTTCCTTTCCTTGGGGGACCAAGGAGCGTTTTCCTTTCTTGTGGAGAGTGGGAAACTTGTATAAATGAGAACTGAGGCACGTGTGGCTCAGTCGGTTTGTCCAGCCCACCTGCTCCCCTTCTTAAGAAATCTCTCAGGGCCAGCCTGGTGGCGCAGCAGTTTAGTGTGCATGTTTCGGTTTGGCAGCCCGGGGTTCGCCAGTTTGGATCCCGGGTGTGGACATGGCACTGCTTAGCAAGCCATGCTGTGGCAGGCGTCCCACATATAAAGTAGAGGAAGATGGGCACGGATGTTAGCTCAGGGCTAATCTTCCTCAAAAAAAAAGAAAAAAAAGAAATCTCTCCAGCCACAGCCCTGCAGAGGGAGCAGCCCAGCCAGTGACCTTCCCCACCCCTGGCTAGAGCTGACTGGACCAGAGTGGACACCAGACTCCACCTGGGCCCACCTCTAGCTCCTTATCTGGGGATCTGAGGCTAAGGGAGGGAAGGGGTGCAGGGAGGGGAGCAGCCCCAGGCCCGGGGAGTGTAGATCAACTGTGAACAGCTGTCCTTGGATTCAGGGATATCCACATCCCCCAGGCACACCCCAAATCGCCACTTGTCCCACCATGTGCAAATTTTGCTCTCGCCGAGCAGGAAGGCTTAGCCCTGTCCTGATTCTGGCCAGTGGGCAGGATGACACCACCCTGACACCGATGTCTGCGGCGCCAAAGCCCAACCATTGCTCAAGAGTCTGGCTAATGGGCACATCGTCGGCTTCGTTCCTTTTACTTAGCTCAAGTCAGAGGTGCCCTCGTGCACATCCATCCTCCGAGGAGATGGACCCTGGGGTCATGGAGGACCCTTGGGTGTCCTCTGTGTGGTCGGCCCCTCTCTCAGTGCTCAGATTTCTGCCTGTGGGTCATATCTCACAGGTACCTGGGCACCCAGGAAGCAGGAACCCCTGTGTGGGGTGATGTTGGGCATATAACATTCCTGGAAATCTGAAGAAAAACAAGAGAGAGGGAGGGAGGGGGCGGGAGGTGTTCCATGAGTGCATTTTTAAGATGCACAAAGAAGGTTAACTGTTTAAGGACAAAGTTTTTATTTTAATTTTTTTATGGACAACTCTCTAAAATGTATGACATAATCACCTGCCTTAATGAGAAGAGTTTACCAAATGTTCGTGACTCTTTCTTGTGGCTCAAATTCACCTTAAATGACACCTTTAATGGCTACTGACCTTCATAACTGCATGTTGCTCCTTCGCTAAATGTCCCCAGGCTACCGTGCTATCTGGTTTTTTAAAACTGTTTTTCAACACTCAGCTCCTTTACCTACTAACTGTGTGGTTTGTGACAAATCATATAATTTCTCCACATCTCCATTTACACCCCTAGAAGTGGGGACTGCGACCCCTTACCCAGCTTGCGAGGTGGATGCAATGATCAGGACGGTGCTGTATGTCGGTGCTGGGCTGTGCTTCTGTGACCAAACCTAGTCGTGCAGCACTGGCTTTGGGCAGGCCATGGGCAGAAGCCTGAGAGCCTTCGGGGAAGCTGGTGAGAGCTTGAAGGGAACAGAGAGCACGCTGTTGGACCCTGGAGGAAAGGAAGCCTTCCTCACATGGTGGCAGAAAGTTCAGCAGAACGGCTGCCCGCAGTAGCACAGAAAATAGCCCGCAACTGACCCAGCGAGCTGGATGGCCAGCAGACAGCCTTTCCAGGCAGGATGTCGAAGGCATTGCCCAGCTCTGCCTGTGAGAAAATGAAGAAGAGAGACGAACTAAGAGAAAAGCGTTCTGTTCTCAAGTGGAAATGTGGAGAAGGGTAAAGGGCCAGAACAGTCTTGTCAGCCAGTAAAGGAACAAAGAAGTCCAGGTGGTCTGCAAGATCTTTTGTTAAGACCTCAGAGAAAAATGGAAAGGTGCCTCAGAAACCCCCTCGGGCAGACAAAGGCGTTGGAGGCTCTGAGAGCACGCCCGCCCGCCGTTGAACTGTGGGTCTTCCAGACTCTCCAGGGTCTTCTCCCGTGGCGGCCTCACGGGGAGCCCAAGGCAGAGAGGGCTTATCTCAATCCAGTTTGTGGTGCTAAGTGAAAGAAGCCAGTCTGAAAAGGCTACACGCTGTGTGACTCCAGCTGTGTGACACTCTGGAAAAGGCACCACTATGGACCCAGCGATCAGGGGTGGCCGGCGGGAGGGGGTGTGGGGTGAACAGGGGAGTTTCAGGGCAGAGAAACTATCCTGCGTCACACTGCAACAGTGGACACGTGACATTATACACTCGTCAAAACCCGCAGAAGTACACCACCGAGATGAACCTGATGTAAACTGTGGGCTGTAGTCAATAAACATATATTGGTATTGACTCAGCAATTGCAACAAACACGCCACACTAACGTGAGATGTTAATCGGAGGGAAGATGGCGGGTCGCGTAGGGGAACCCTGTACTCCCCGCTCAATTTTTCTGTAAACCTAAAACTGCTCTAAGAAAAAAAGCCTATTAATTTTTTTTTAAAGATTTGTGGGTGAGGTTTTTATCTCATGGGGTGGATTTTAAAGGAACACATAGGCAGCCCTCCAGCTTTCAAAGGGACTAGGAGCTTGGACTAAAGGGGACGCAGACAAGACGACATGCAGAGGCTTCTGGCCCCCGCCCGTCAGAGGAAGGAAGCGGCCAAGAAAGCCGTGCAGCTGCAACTCGGTTTCTCGTGTAAAGGCAGCGCGCCTCCGCGGGCTGGGCCAGCGGCTCAGGAAGACAGCCTCGGGCGAGGACCTCGTCTGCACCACGACAGAATTCACGCAGCCAGGTCCTGCGCCCCGAGTTTGAGCCCACACCGTGACGGGTGGGCTTCGGGGCTCTTGAGGTCTGGGGGGCATATTTTGCACGTGGGAGGGATGTGGGTTGTGGCCCAAGGGCGGGCTGTGTCAGAGCATACTTTCCAAAAGTGGGCACCACGGTATCCAACGTCCCCCAGGCTCTTCCAGTGTGACCTTGGCCCTTCTCCCTGTGTCCCCTCCCTTTGAATCTGGGAGGGCTTGTGGTTGGATTGTACCCCTCGAACTTGGAGCCTTGAGCCGCTAGGTAAGAGTCTGACGGCCCTGAGACCTCCATATTGAGAGGAGGCCAAGCCCATGGGGGTGTGCTAGTTATCTATTGCTGTATAACAAGTTATTACAAATTTAGTGGCTTAAAATGACACGCGTTTATCACCTCACAGTTTCTGTGGGTCAGGAGTCCCAGCACGGCTTCACTGAGTCTCAGAGGCTACAGTCAAGGTGCTGGCCAAGTCTGGGTCTCATCTGAAGGTTCAAGTGGAAGAACCCATGTCCAAGCTCGCGTGGCTGTTGGCGGAATTCAACTCCTTGAAGGCTCTTAGCCTGAAGGCCCCAGTCTTTAGCCAGCAGAACTGAGTTCCTCCCCACCTGGGGCTCCCAACACAGCGCCAGTCCATCAAAGCCTCAGGAAAGACAGTCTGCTGGCAAATGGAATCAGGGTCTCATCATCCCAGGATCTCCTTCTGGGAGGCAGGGGTCACTGGGACCACCTTAGCAGCAGCCCACCACAGGGAGGCCACAGGGGACTCTGGCCAGCAGTCCTGGTCTCTGAGTCTTCCCAGCCCAGGCGCCAGAATGAACCTTCTTGTGGTCCCCATACTGCACCTTCTGGCATTGCATTAGCAGGTCTGAGTCTCTAGACTCCTCCGCCATCCACCTCCAGCACTGCCCTGCCTCCAGCACTGCCTCCGCCATCCACCTCCAGCACTGCCCCGCCTCCAGCACTGCCTCCACCAACCACCCCCAGCACTGCCTCCACCATCTGCCTCTGTTTCTGAGCTCTGCTGCCTCTGCTCACATTTTCTTCTCTCTCTTCTGTCAACTTCTTTCTCGTTCTTTCTCCAGCTGGTCCCCCCAGGTTCCCAAGAATGAATGGTCAGATGTGGCTTTGACAGGTCCCCCAGGGGCTGGCTCTTGTCTTCCAGCCTGAGAGGGGCCGGTGCTCGGAGGGCTGGGCCGCCTTTGCTCCTCCAGCATGGCTCAGCTGCCCCCTCCCTGATGGCTCAGCTCTCTCCTGCTGACTGCTCTCTGACTTGTGGCTGTCCCCGAGCTTGAACTTGTTAGATGACGGAGGCCTTGCTGCATGTGTTGATTTACGATAAAGGTGTGGCTACACTGACACGCTCAGGTACAGTGTGGGAGTGTACGCTGCTCCCACCTTCCCAGAAAGCACTTTGGCAATATATATCAAGAGCTTTAAAAGGCCCATGTGCTTTGCCCCAGTAAGTACACTGTTTTTTCATTGGCTGATTCAACATATATTTCTTGATTACTCATTATGTCCCTGCCCTCTAAGGCTTATACTTTGGTAGGGAAAATAGACAGTAATGAAATAATCATATAAGAAGGTACAATAAGAGTATCCACTAAAAAGGCTCATATCTGGTCTGGGACCAGGGAGGGCCTCTCTGTAGAAGGGGAGACAGGAAGGTGAGTAGAGATTAACCAGGAAAAATAGAGGGGAAAGAGAGTGCAGGCAGAGAACAGCTTGTGCAAAGGCCCTGTGGTGGGAGGGAATGTGGTCCATACAAGCACTGGAGGAGGACCCAGGAGGCTGGAGTCCAGAGAAGCTGTAGAGATGGTGGAGGAAGCAGGCCCTGCAGGCCCCTCGAGGACTCGGGTCTTCATCCTAAAAGGAATGGGAAAGTCATGGAAAGCTTCTGAGACAGGAGGAGGGGGGCTGACGTGACCAGATCTGCGTTTTGAAAATGCGGCTCTGGGTGAACTGTGGAGCAACAGGAGGGCCCAGAGTCCAGTCGGGAGCCTGAGCAGGGTTCCAGGCAAGAGGCAGTGGTGGCTTGGACCATGATGTGGTGATGGAGAGATGTGAAGGGAAAACTTCCAGGGCGTCAGAAAGGCGCTCAGGAGATGAAGTCCCCGACCCCCCGGCTGGGCTGCCTGGGGCGGGGGCGGGCGGTGTCTGGGCTACCTCAGAATCCTGGTGGGAATGGCAGAATTGCAGGGGGTGCCCCGCAGAGAGAGAAGAGCGTGACAGAGCACAGGCTGGGTTTGGGGCATGCCGTGCTGTGGGGGCTTGGGAGCAGCCCAGGGGGCTGTCAGGTGAGGTGGCATATGTGGTTTGGTGGCAGAGGCAGGGTCTCAGCTGTAAATATAACCCCCTGAGTGAGCTGGGCAGCGGGAACCGAGCTGTGGGAGGGGGCGCCACTGTCCGGGCCCTGCCGTAAGGAAACAGACGGACTCACTGATAAAAGGTGTGCACCAGGACGTTCGCAGCAGCCTTACTGACAACACCGGGGAGTTTAAACCAAGCCGCGGTCAGTAACAGAGGGAGCTACAGAAATAACAGGTCTCTTATTTGGTGGACACACACAACTGTGATGAGTGCAAAATGAAGACCTCAGGAACCATTTTGGAACAAGACAGGGGAGATGGTTGTACAATACTGTGAACTGCTCACTTAAAAATGGTTATTTTAGGGGCTGGCTCCGTGGCCGAGTGGTTAAGTTCGCGCGCTCCGCTGCAGACAGCCCAGTGTTTCGTCGGTTCGAATCCTGGGCGCGGACATGGCACTGCTCGTCAGACCACGCTGAGGCAGCGTCCCACATGCCACAACTAGAGGAACCCACAACGAAGAATACACAACTATGTACCGGGGGGCTTTGGGGAGAAAAAGGAAAAAATAAAAATCTTTAAAAAAAAAAAAATGGTTATTTTATGTTATGTGAATTTCACCTCAATAATTTTTTTTTTTTTTTTTTTTTTGGTGAGGAACATTAGCCCTGAGCTAACATCTGTTGCCAATCTTCCTCTTTTTGCTTGAGGAAGATTGTCCCTGAGCTAACATCTGTGCCAATCTTCCTCTATTTTGTATGTGAGATGCCATCACAGCGTGGCTTAATGAGCAGTGTGTAGGTCCACACCCAAGATCTGAACCCGTGAACCCCAGGTTGCCGAAGTGGAGCACTCGAACTTAACCACTACACCACCAGGCTGGCCCCAATAAATTATTTTTTTTTTAATGAAGACTACAAGAGCTATGTGTACATAAAGATTTTACTTGTATAGAAAACAGAAACATAAAACACAATAAAAGACAAACGTAAAAATATAGGAATCAATACACCAAATGCTAACAGCAGCTGCCTGTGGGCTGTGGGATTATGGGTGACTTTTTTCTTCATTGTATTTTCTGTGTTTTGCATAATTAACATATATTACCTTCATAATCTGAAAAACAGATATACATCGTATGTATACACATATGGACAGGAACATATCAGTGGATAAGATTATTTTTATCTATGGACACCTTTTCTGAGGTTAATGTTGGTATATTTTAAAAGCCTCTTTGTTTGATCTTGAAATCTTTTACAGTTAAACTGATTGTTATTAGGACCTGAAGCAAGTCCTTTTTTTCTGGATTTGGGCAGTTTGGCCTTCCAGTTTTCGAGGGGTTTCTCACCACTCATTTCAGGTGGGCAGTACAGAAGGCGTGACGCGGAGTCCAGGTGAGCCAGGACACGCACACTGGGGTCTCCCTCCCCATGGAGCAGGTTCCGGCCTGTCCTTAGCTGAGGCCCACAGAGGGCTGAGCTTCTCTCAAGACCACAAAAGTCAGGCTGACCCCCAACCCTGAGAATCTGAACTCTCACTGTTGCAGACCAGGCCACAGACGGCCGAGCCTCCTCTAGGGAGAGGTGGGCACCGAGTCACGCAGGGCGCTTCCTCAGGGAGGGCGCCCCCTCCCTCTCCAGCAGCCTGAGGGAGCGCCGGCTCTGCCAGAAGACCAACCTGGCCCGAGGATCCTAATGACATCCCCACTCCCTGCACTTCTTTAGGCAAGCATTCACTGGGGCTCCCAGGAGCAACCTCGATCCTCCTGTAGCTACTGCCCGCTTCCTGGGTGTATTCCATCTGTTCTTAGGTTTCATTGTTATGAAGAAAAAAGGACTCTGAGGCCACAAAGTGGCAACACTTACATCAAACAAAGCCTGCTCTTCGTTGCAGGACTTCTCAGAGCCTTCAATATGCTCCTAGATGCTGTGAGTCTCCAACAAGGATGACAGCAGGCAGCATTTCCCAAACTTATTTGACTCCAGAACTCTTTTATCACAAGGCAGCTTGCAGCTCCGTGGGACATCCTTTGGGAAACGCTGCTTGTAGGAGCCCTCAGTCAGATGGGGGCGGCGAGGGGCATACAGCAGCCAGGACTGGATAACACCTTAGAAGTCTGCAGCCTCCAGCTTCAGCCTGTGGATGAAGACTCCTCCGAACCTTGGCCCTGTGGCTTCCTGCTGGCCTGGCCTTCTCCTCTGTCCCTCCACCATCCTCCAGGAGGGGGAGCCCGAATCAGCCTTCTGATGCTCTGTGGGATGAGGAAGGCGAGGGATGGCATCCTCGCTGACATTTCACCCCTTTGGCTCAAGCGGAAGCTGGAATCCCCGAGAAACACCAGAAGGAAGCCCAGGGCAATCCCCATCGTGAATCCTCCCTTCATCTCAGCCCTTCTCTTGCTCTCTCCCCGAGTCCGGAGTACGCGCCTACCTGGGTTGTCTTCCTCTGGTACGCCCCTCCCATGAGCCCGCTGGAGCTCCGCCTCCTCCCCCTCCTCTTTCCCCCTCCCCTTCTACCCTTCCCTTTCTCCCCCTCCTCTCCCCTCCCCCTCCTCCTCACACCTCTCCTTCCCCAGGGCCCCCGCCTCTGAATAGCTGGTGCTCATGCATATCTCCATCTCCGGAGCAGGGAGCTGCTGGAGGGTCTCAGCCCTTGGAATGGCCCAGAGAGCTTTGAAAGCTACCCTGCCAGGCCCCGCCCCAGGCCCCGCCCCAGGCCCGTTAAATCAGTCTCTGGGCTGGAGCTCTGAACTGCTCCCTGTGCTGAGCCCACTGGCCTAGGGGAGAGAAACCAGAGGTCCGGGTTGGAATCTGGAGCTGCTAGGTATCAGCCCTGTGCTCTTCCCCAAGAGCCTACACCTCCGTGCCTCGGCTTCCCCGTCTGCTCCATGGGGAAGCGATGCCCGTCCTGGGCTCTTGTGGGCTTGGATACTAAGCGTATTGTTCAGTAAGCTGTTGTCTCACGGTGGCTGCTACAGTCCCGAGTGGCCGGTGTGGGAGGGAGGGCAGGAGCTGGCCTTGGCCATGGACCCCGGGGCCCCCTTGGGCCGGGTGCAGACGCCCTTGATCGAGGTTTGATGTGGAGTGAAGGGCAGCCTGCAAGAACTGGAGCCCAGGACGCGCCAGGCAGCAGACAAGCCAGGTGCCTCCACTGAGCACAGGGGCCGCGCGGGGGCTCTGAGAGTAAGGGAATTTTAATTTGCTTCCATTAAAAACAAAAATAAACACAGGGCCTGCCAGCCAGGGCGGTGGGCATGCCGGGAGGGGCTGGCAGCCCTCCGGGGCTGCAGCTGCAGGTGGCGGGGCTGGGCCTGACATCCTGGGCTCTGTTTGGCAGGCTCCGCTTAGCCCTCAGGGGTCTAAAAGTGTCCCTCAGCGAGGTTGCCACATAAAACACGGGATGCCCAGTTAGATGTGAGCTTCAGACAAGCAACAAATAATTTTTGTAGTATAAGTATGTCCCATGTCGTATTTGGGACATACTTATACAAAAAAATATTGTTTATCTGGACTTAGAATTTAACTGGGCATCCTGTAGTTTTACCTGCTAAATGTGGAAACCCTGTGGCTTCAGCCGCCAGACCGAGGCTAGTAGTCCTGCAAGAGAGCTCTGACCATGACCACTCAGGGTTCCCAAACACCAGGCCGGAGCCTGGGGCAGCCTATGACAAGTCCTCACCTGTCAGAGACAAAATAAGACAAGTGAGGACCATGCAGAGGCCTGGGGGTTTTGTTTCTGTTTTGTAAAGCTGAAGATGTTCAAAGGACTGGTCTTTATTCTGAAATTTTCCCTTCCTACGTGTGTAAATGTCCTATGTGAGAAAATGTCCTTAAAAAATAGACAACGGTTGGGGCCGGCCCCGTAGCTGAGCATTTAAGTTCACGCACTCCACTTCAGCAGCCCAGGGTTTCACCGGTTCGGATCCTGGGCGCGGACATGGCACCGCTCGTCAGGTCATGAGGTGGTGTCCCACACGCCACCACTACAAGAAGCCACAACTGAAAATATACAACTATGTACCGGGGGCTTTGGGGAGAAAAAGGAAAAAATAAAATCTTAAATAAATAAATAAACAATGGTAACAGCAAGTATTGTGTGTCTTTTAAAATAGAGTCTACCTTTTTGGCAGAATTAAAACATAGCCGCTCCATCTTAAAATCTCCAATTTAAAAAACAAACAAAACCGGACTCTGAAATCCCAAAGCCCAGGGAGGTAAAATGACTCTCCCCGCCCCACAGTCGGGGCGGGCGGGTGTGAGGGCCCCAGGTCACAGCCCCACAGCCTCCTGCTCCCCACCCTGCCTCGTCCCGCCTGACTTCAGTGTTTCTTGCTTAGTCACTCATTTCTCTGCTCCCAGCTGGCGCCATCCGCCTCTGGGAGCTGGTTCCTCAACATGCGATGAGGAAGCCTGGCTGTGCCCTCCCGTTGGAAAGAGCACTTGACCTCTGACCTGTCGTTTTCTCACCCATGGACCTCCCCCAGGCCGCAGGGCCGCTCATGCCTGGATGGAGGCTGCACAGTGTGTCCACATGCGGACACTCGTCACAGCACACACTCAGTCTGTGCACTTTTCTGTGTCGATGCTATAATTCAATGAAATAGTTTATCCAAAGTTAATAACTAAGTTCGGTTGGCAAAGAGCTTTCCAATAGAGAGAAGCTGACACAATGTATCTCAGAAGGAGATGTTTCCTCCACCTCTGAAGTGGGAAGGGCCCTTCACTGTTTGCTGCCTGCCCGCAGCTGGCAGGGCCCATCACCCTTGTTAACAACTTCCTCAGTTCGCACAGCTTTTCATTCACCTTCAGCACTAAAACCATCTCATCTTTGCTAATATAGACTCTCTGTCGCATATTAAAATAACCAGACAGGTCTAAACCCAAACATCGATGTCACACCCCATTCAAAGCTGCAGGGCCAAGCGGGGACGGCTCTTCCCACCCCCCACCCCCATTCCCCTCCAGCCCCTCCACATCTCCTCTCCCCTCACTCGCTTCTGACTCCTCCATGGGGCAGGAAGAAGGAAAAGGAGGCAAAGCTGTGGCTCGCCTGGCTGGTGTCGGGTGCGACTGTGCTTGCCCATCGAGCCCGTGTGGGCAGGCGTCCGAGGGCAGGCTCTGTCGTGGGGCCCCTCGGGGAGCTCTCCAGGCGCCCTACCCTGCCGGGGCTGCCACCCCCGCTCCGGGACTGGCGGTTCAATGCCAGCCGCAGCAGCCCTTCCAGGACCCTCCCACCCGGCCCAGCCCTCGGTGCCTGTGGGAAGCTCCACGCAACCTTCCCAGGGAAACAGTGTGGATGCAGAGCGTGGCCCTCAAGCCTCTGCCAGCCTTCAGGGTGCCCCGGGCGGAGCCGGCTCTGCCTCTCTGCGCTGGGCCCCATGCGCCAGAAGACACCGGCCAAGCCTCCCCAGAACG